CCACAGGGTTCCAATTTGGGACCCTTGCTTTTCTTACCGCATATCAATGATATTGTTGATGTTATACAACATTCGGAATGTTCAATATTTGATGATGATTTAAAAGTATATAGGAGAATTAATACACATGAGGACGGCATATTGCTTCAAAGGGATATCAACAATGTCATTAATTGGTGTGTGTTAAATGGTCTTGCTCTAAACATTTCAAAGTGTCTTGTGGTATCCTTTACTAGAAAGAAGTTGCAATTTATTTTTCAGTACATCTTAAATGGAATTATTATTTGTCGTTCCGAAAAAGTTACAGATTTGGGTGTAATTTTTAATAATAAAATGATTTTTAGAGAACACGTCCAAAATGTTGTAAACTCAGCTTCTAAGATGCTAGGATTTATTGTCAGAGTTTGTAAAGGTTTTAGTAATTTGAATGCGTTAAAATGTTTATACTTTGCTCTTTTGAGATCAAAATTAGAGTATTGCTCTTTAATTTTTTTCCATTTTATGCATATCAGTTGCTTATTTTGGAGGGTGTTCAGCGCAGATTCTTAAAATTTTTATATTACAAGAGTCACAGTGAATATCCGGTGCGAAACTATGGGCAGAATGAGGTACTACATGAATTTAATGTAGATTCTTTACGTAAAAGACGTATTATACAATCTATTGTGTATTTATACAAGTTGCTGCATGGAAAGATTGATGATATGGAAACTTTAAATCTTATGAAATTTCATGTACCTCGAATAGCCACTCGCCAAATCAGATTCTTTCAACTACCAAGGTGTCGTTCAAACATCATGAAAAGGTCACCTTTGTATGTAATCTGTAATAATACAAACTCAATACGTGACATACACCATGACAATCTACATGCGGTAATAAATAAATATAAGGAAAAATTTGGCGATATTTTGTAAAAACATGTGTAAAAATATGAGAGCTTTCCTATTTGGGAATAACAGTAGTTGTGGTAGCTGTTGTCTAGCTTGGCGGTTTTACAAACATTTCGAAATATGTGTTCGAATATATGTATATGTTTTTCTTTTTTTTTATTGATTTTTTTTATCTTTAACTTTTTTTTTGTCTCTTTTTTTGTCTCTTAGTAATTGGGCTTTTGGCCTGTTAAGAGACTTACTTTATTATTAATAATATTATAGTGTCGGTTATATAAGGTTTAGTTTATAAGGACAGTATTTCCGGAAAATTCATTTGTATCAAAGTACTTAAAACTTCTGTAGGTAACCGGCCAGGAGTATACGATGTGCTTCCGAAGGGGCAATAAAATTGAACACTGGAGGTACCTAATACATTCGTGTGCCGAGTAGAGCATTATGAAAAATCATTAACTGAAATAATATGTTCCGGTAATGAATACGTATGTTGTCATAGTTACTTATGGGACATATACGTAGCGTTTGCGACAATACCGCGCCGAAAGGTCGATTTAGTCAATACTAATTAATGAAATAATGATGAAGGTTAAATGGGACAAATGGATAAATGAAACGAACACAAAAAATAACCTGATTAACTTCACCCTTTTGCCTTCAAAAATAAAGACCGAATCTTTACTACAGATCCAAGATCACCCTAATTAGACACGATAGCTAAAAAATAAAGTTTTGCTCAATACTATAGGTATTAAGAAATACAATATTTCCAGAATTTGAGGAAATGAAAATCGGGTAGATAGTTATGTCAATGATAGAGAATACTTACACCGAAAATGACATTAAACATTCCAAACAACACCTTGTCTGCGTTATTCGGATCCATTATTAAAAAGTACTACATATAATTTAAAAATCAGTTTATAACGATCACTTGTATATCCTATTGGACCCCCCGTACTGAGTTAACTAAGACGAAATTAATTAACATTATATTGGCTGCTGTGGTGAAATTTCTTTTACGAGAAAATAAGTATTTGAAAAAACCATGATTTAAAAATAAATGAAATAAAAATTCAAAAATTATGGTTGTTAAGTACGCGTTTCGATTTTAGATTAGAATATTTTTCGCAAGTGAATGACCCAAAGCAAGCATAACGATACACTAACAAGTGAAAAAGTGGAAAAATAATTCATCAAAATTAATAAATTATATACAGAACTTTAACCACTATCAAGTTATGACGTTTTGTTTTACGATTATGTTGACAGTATCACAAGAATGCAATCATTCTAAAAAGAGAAAGGTGAAAACATTTTCTAAGTTACATGATCGTTTTCCGGCTCAACGTTTCGCACACTATCGTAAGTGGCATCTTCAGGAGCAGAGTTATAAATAAGGCAAAAAGCACAGTAACTCAGTATGTCAACCATATCAGAGGCGAAACTCTTCCCCAAAAACTCAATTAACCGGTCTCAACCCGGAAAACAACCGTGTATTGACTCGGACCGAGGAAGCCTCCGAAATTATTTTCTAAGTTTTATCTTATTTGGGAAATACTGAAGCTAAAAATATCAAGTTTTCGAGATAATTTACTTTACTCTTTGGAGTAAAACCAGATACGTTTTTCATCTTTAAAAAACTAGACAAATTATAACGAAAAAATAAATTAGTAGTATGACCAAGTTGTAAATTATTATTAGCAAATTTTTAAAGGTTTTTAAATTCTGTACTAGTTTACATTCCAGCTTCCAACTATATATTTTATATACAGTTGCCAAGTTTTCTTGAATACTTCTCACCTTAACTGTATCAATTTAAAATATTTATGTAGTTATACTTTAGTAGAAATTAGTTAATGCTTTGAAGAGTTTCATTATTGATTATTATCGGAAGGAAGTATAAACCAAACCTTAATTGATCCATTTTTTTTTAAGGAAATTTGAATTGTAATTCGTTTTTAACACTGGTTCGTAATCACATAGTGCCCCAAATTCAAAACATAAATATTAATGATGTTTAGTTTCAAATGGATGGAGCTCCCCCACATTCAACTGACAACTGCAACAATAACACATTATTTATACGAAATTTTTACAAAGCGGTGGATAGGAAGATTTGGGCCAATTGTGAGGCCACCAAGGTCGCCAGCTTTGTATCCGAATGATTTTTTACTGTCGAGCCATATATATAGATACAATAACATTATAATAAACGATGTGGTCATTTCGAATACTTGTTAAAAAAATTGGTCAAAGGATATTTCGACAAAACTTCCCTCGTTCCTAAAGGACAATAAAACAAATCCAGCTTTTTCAAAAAACTATAAAAATTGGTTACCCGAATTTTATTTTTTTTTTGCTGAACCATTATAAGTTAAAAAAAATATGTATGTGACGTTAAAGTAAACGTAAAGAAGCGTGTTGGACGTATGTTCCAAATTCGTTTTTCCTTAACAAAATTTTGTGATGACGTCATCACCATTTTTGCAAAAACACGTATCACTTTGGATAGGTGCAGTGTAATTCTAATGATAACAGTATTTTATTCCCAAATTTTCGGGAAAACGGAGTTCCCGATTTAATCAATAAAATAAATTGACTCATTCATTAATTTATATGAGTCAGCCTGTATAAGAAATTTCAAATCGTGAAACCCATACGCCGCCCCGGTACGAAACCTATGGATTCTAGTATATACGGCGATGATGACTCATCGCGGCCAAACGGCGTTCGCTAAAGGAAAAGCCTGGAAGCGGATGTCGCGACGGGTCTTCCAGAATAAGCCTAAAAGCGGTGACGGAGATCTTCGAGAAGGATCGCGCGGCTGTTTAAATGGGAACCACCGTCGAGAGCAGTTAGAGTAGTCCAGACAATGGAAGAGTCTAGTCTATTCTTTTTTAGTCTTACTATTTATTTTGTAAGATATATTAGTTTGTTTTTTATAGATTTCTTCCAATTGGGTTTGTAACCCGTTTGGAAATAAACCATTTATTTATTTAATTATTTTTTACTATTTAAAGCGCACATCTTAGTGAAAGTTTTTGCAATTAACTATATTGCTTCCATAAATTTTAAGAGTTCGATAACCCAAGAATGAGAAATCAAATATCTACCCTGTGACATTACAACGATTTTCTTTATTTATAGACACTGAAAAATACTTAAACTTCTAGCATTGCCCCAGTTTATTATTATTAAAGACATTCCAAGATCTATTATTAAAAATGTCATTAAGCTAGTAATCTTTGCATATTTAAAAATCGACTGTAATTGCTTTGGCGTCTACTGTGGGTATCCACTTTGAAACTTGAACTCATTTCACCTCGTTGGCATCAAAAAACTAAAAATGTCCAGCTATTTTAAAATCGAACTACTCAAGGGTGAGTCAAAATGTCCTTATCTGCCGACCAATTCTTAAATGCTATTTTGTAAAAATTGTATCAAAAACAATTATTGTTTACAGAGGATCATCTCACTTCGATGCGCCTTTTGGCTATTAACATAACACTTCAAAACAAAATTTATCGATAGGCAAGGAAATATGTTGTTTTCACTAGCTTGAGTTTAATAACCCTCCACATTTATTTTCTCGTCACTACGTTTGACGCAGGTTTCTTTTACAAATACCTTCCTACATTTTTGGCAACTATATCGGTACTGTAAAAACCACGTGCCGGACATAATGCAAGTGGTATCATTTTAGGCGGCAGTTATCAATATTTGTTTTTTCTGGGCCGAAGAAAATTTAAAACTATTTGATAAAGAGGTACTTTCGATTTTGTGGTCAATAGATAATGCTAACCAAACCACAAAACAAAATATTCTAAACGTATTTAAATATGCGACGTATGTTGTGAAATTTAATTGTTTGTTAGGGGTGATCACAGGTTTCGTAATGATTCCCACTGGTAAAGAACGAGAATATGACTTTGCTCTTTTTCTCTTTCGAAATTATTTTACTTCAGTTCATTACACTTTCGATTTAGCTTACTTTTTAGCATTTCCGGTAATATCTTATATGTTGGTGACAGTGGCAAATTTTTTTGCTTACTACGCTTGCCATGCTAAAGGTCAGATGTACATGCTTTCCGATGTTATTTCACACATGACAGACGAGTTTATGGATTATGAAGACAATACGCTGTTGTACAGTGAGGAATACCAAGAAATTGTACGACAAAGAGAAATATTTATTATTAGACGACATGTTCAGCTTATAAGGTTGGTTGTTTGCTAATTTCACAGTGGAAGATAAAATCTTTCGACGAACTGTGATGATTTTATTTTAGGGCGTTGAAGTTGGCCAATACTATAACCTCACAATTATTACCTTGGGGATCTTTGGCTTTCCTTGCAATGGCTCTCAGCGCTCTAAGTTCTGCATATTTAATTGTATGTATTATAGTATGATGGTGAGATTAATTTGAATCTTTATATGACTTTACCGCAGGAAGCGGACTCATTGTACTGGAAATATTTTCAACAAATGCTGTTGGTAACAACTTCATCTGTGACAGGATTTTTAATCATTCAATGTGGACAGCAAATAGAGAATGAGGTTTGCAAAAGAATTCAACACATGTTTGTGATTTGTAAATTCATTACCACATTTATCTACTACTTACTAAACAATGACCGATGAAACACTCATCTTTTAAAAGAGCTTATATATCGGGTGTCCCATGGGCGCAATAACTCAGGTATTTTTGGATTAATATGAACCGGTGAGAATAATCATTATTTTGAAAAAGTCAATTTTCCATAACTTAATTTAATTTTGAATTAATTAAGTTTTGCATCACTTGATTAAACATGAAAAATAAATACTGTATGCAAAAATTCATCTCCGAAATACGTCTGGTTAGACAAAAAACAATAAATTATTGCGCAAATAATTCCAAAATGTATTAAAAGATAGGTAGCTGTGAAACAAAAAACTGCTATCTTCCCATTTTGGATACCCTTGAGGGAATTTGCCTGTTTGCAAAGCGTTATTTTATGATTTTTAAGAAAATATTAATTTTCAGTTGCTCTAATACAACCTTTTCGAAGGTGTAAAATTGTTTTAGGTTTAGGAATGAATTCTAATTTGAATGGAAATAATTTTGCTAGATGTATTTAACACCTTGTTTTTTTCACTCGTTTTAGGTCTTGTACACTTACCGTATCTTCAAATAAGTTTATTATTCTCTGTACTTTGAATTTAGTAAATTCGTCATCGGGATACCGTTCGATAAGAGTCCTGATGGTTTCTTCTAGGTCTGTACGGCATTCTCCGTAGGTTAAAATGATTTCTGTTTTAGTAATTAAAGAAAAGCGAACCATTTTCAATAACTTGTCAGATATTGACAAAAATGTCAGGGATGTACAAAATTGAACTCGGCGACGCAGGCAATTGTTTTGCACCGACACTACTATTAAATTAAAAAAAAACAAATTAATTAATTCTTGCTTTTTTATTAACGTAATTCTTTTAAACAAAAACAGTGATTTAATTAATTTTTCGCACATACCTATTATTATTCAAAAATACCTGAGTTATTGCGCGAAAGTGTTACGTGGGACACCCGGTATATATATAATTTTGTTAATTTACTTAAATTGGTGTTAAACAAATTCTTTAGAGGTAGATAAAGTTTGTACATTTATTACTATCACACTTTACACTCATACAGTAATTATTATTATTTAAGTTTCAGTCCGAATCGATACTTTTTACTTTTGTAAACATTCCATGGATAACTTTTAATGACAAAAATAAAAAAATAGCGATGATGGCACTAACAGTGGCCCAAAGTACTTATAAAATTAAATTTACCGACTCGTTAGCCCTTAATTACAATCTTGGTATAAGAGTAAGTAACTTATTATGGGTGATTAAAAGTTTTCATATAGTTAACATGTATTTATGTTACAGGCAGTGAAAACTCTTTATTCTTTTGCTGCAATTTTTGCTAATGTGAGAAATTTGAATAAATGAAATCTATCTAAAACATAAAATGTCATAGTCCGGCCAATGTTCTTGAATTAAATTAACATTTTGTTCAACGTACGTAATTGTAATAAATTTTAATAATTAAAAAATTATAACAGTAATAAATATGGTAAAGCTTCAGTGTAGTTGTTTTATCTACTGTATGATTTTTACCTCCCCAGCGTAAGAGAAGGAAGTATTGTAATGGAGTCCGTCGGTGGCCTATCTACTTTTACGTTTTCCCGACCTTTCATGACCCCTAGAGAACAGACAAATAGGTGTCCCGTTTCAGTATATTTGTCTGTCCGGTTGTCCGTCTGTTTGTCCGTTTGCTCATCTGCTATCCCGGATTTTTATTAGACAGATATTCTCCGAAAGTACTAGGCCGATTGTTGTCAAATTTTGTATTTACATATATTAGGGATATATATATAATGGTAAAACGCTTTAAAAGTAACGGTTCTGAAGTTTTTTAACAATTTTCTTGAATCTACAAAAGCCAGAATATGAAAAACTAACCCAAACGTCTCCTTTTGGCAAATTAAGACGATTCTGCAAGCTGCACGTCGGTTGGGTCGATCAGAATCATCAGAAAATGTCGAAATATAGTTCAGACCTCATAAAATTCGACCAAAATACGATTTCTAGCTAAAGTTGCTAAAACGTTAATCAAAATTTGTTTAATCATCCCCACCAATAATGTGATGACGTCATTTCAAAATTGCACGTACTCGTAGTAAATGGGTTTTAAAATTTAAAATTTTAAAATCTGTGTGGAGTTTTTACCCAAAACGTTCATATTTATGGAAAAAAGTCAAAATGCTTTCAAATCTTGCAGATATTTAGTTACTAAATTTTGGTGGTCTAAAAAAATGTCCTAAACAGTAGGAAAGTAGGAAGTCTTTGAAATAAGGACATAAAAATGTTCCAGTGGCTTTAAGAACACCGTTCTTTGATAAGAACGCTAGAAACCTGATCAATTCCAGAAACTCTACTATACTTTAACTTCCTAATGGCTTTCAAAAGTGAATCTTCATTGATTTTTATTTTAACACAAACAGTGCCACAACTGAAGGAGTTATTGAAATCACAGGGAATAACTAAGTTACTAAAATTGGAACTAAAAAGTTTTGCAAAGCTATCGACAATTTCTTGAGGATCTTCTTTCAAGTTATTTTCACAATAAACCTTATTAGGTACCGTGGAATGGCCTTTTTTCTCTTTAATGTAGGACCAGAAGTGTTTAGGAGCAGTCAGGAAAGCATTTTCCGCATCTATAATATAATCACGAAAATCTCTTTTTATTACCATCGTTACTGAACGACGTACTGCAAAAAATGAATTATGTTGCTTAATATCTAAGAAAGACATCATATTGTTTAATATGTCAGATTTCGACTCTTTTACCTCACTCGCAAAGGAGGTTGTATTAAAGTACCAATTAGTAAAATATTCGGAAAATTAAAGATCAAAATCCCTAAACACTCAAAAAAAAGGTTCGAAGTCGGACACCGTTACATCAGGAGGTATATAAACCAAAATAATATAAATTACATTAGTGCCAAATTGAAACTTATATCCAACAATGTTAGTTAGATAATATGAGTTACACACTGAGAGGTCAACACTTGTAGTTGCATATGACACCGTCACCTCTTCTACTACCCGTATGTAGAAAATCAGATCTGAAGACATCAAAGCCCTGGGGCATGAACTCGTTGTCATCAACAAATGAATCGAGCCACGACTCAGTAATGCATACAATGTCAAATTCAGTCACTTAAATTGAAATAAACTTCATTCACTTTACCCTTTATACTGCGCGCATTTTGGTAATAAATAGACATATCAGAAAAAAATGTTGGAGACTCCTAGTTTAAAGAACTAACGTGATCGTTGTTAGGACGTTGCTGCTGATGATGTCGTTGAATCTTACAGTGAGCAGAATTATATTTGGCCACGTTGTTTCTTGACGTTCGGACTGTATTTCTTCTTCTTCCTTTCTAGTTCTTTTTGTGTGTTAAGCCTGAACCATGGCTTCTTTTATTGGTATTAACTGTTGGTGCATTTTTGGTGGAGCCAAATTTGCCACCACCGGCATTGTGTGGTTGGTTTGGGTGTGACTGGAACTGATGCCATTTTTCGAAGTGTCGGTGAATTTTGTTTTGGTCTTGCGACAGTTTTCCTTTTGCAGCTTGACGATTTTCTTTTCTTGTCTGTCTTAATAATTTCGAGAGATAGAAATCTTGTCTGCGGGAACTCCATCATCTTCTCGAATTCTTGCATATCGTGTGGTTTGGTCAATGACTGTTCATACAGCCTATTTGTTTCTGTGTCCCATTTTTGAGAGACTATTTTGGTGAGTATTGGTCCCCACGTGTCGGTCTGAATGTCTAAATTGTTTAATGCTTCTAGACATTCTTTTGTCGTGTCATGTAATTTTTTCAGCTTTTCTGATGATTCTTCCTGTATTCTTGGCTGATGCAAAATTTTGTCTACTAACTTACTTACGGTAAGCCTTACATTGCTGAATCTTTTTGCCAACAGCTTCCATGCAGTTTCGTAATTATTTTCCGTTATCTGAAGATGTTGGATGACTCTGCTGGGTTCATCTTTGATGTACGTCTTCAGATACTGCATCTTTTCAATGTTGGAGAGCGATGTATTTTTGTGAATGACTTTGCTGAATAGATCGTGAAAAGTGGGCCAATCTTCATAATTTCCGCTAAACGTTGGAAACTTAATTTGGGGTAATTGGATGTTTGGTTTCTCCTGTTGATGGGCGGACGGTGACTGGATTTTTTCTTTCAGTTTTTCGACCACAACCTCGGACTTCTCTTCAGTCTTCTCGTACATTTCGTCGGCAAAATATTTGTCTTCGAATTCCCTTTCATGGACGTGGATTTCTTCATGCAGCTCCATGATGCTTCTCCACTGAGACTAGAAGTTCATACCTGGCTCGGCTGTAGTCCTGATCTACATCGCTCTTTATCTTGGTCAGCGCGGTGGAGATTTTTTGCAATCTGAACAATTGACGTCGGATGCGGGCTTCTTGCTCCATATCGACGTCGGGCGACGTCTCAACTGATTCGAGATATTTCTTCGCATCTTCGTGCAACGCTTTTAGCTGATCAAAATAATTCACTTCGAAATAATCGTGGGTAGTTCTGAGGGTGGGCCCTAGTATCTTCAATTCTTCATGATTTCGCTGAATCTCATTCCAAAATTCTTGGAGTTGCTCTGCTCTTTTGGATCGCCAATTCTGGGTTTTTCTTTTTGCTAGGTCTTTCCTCGCGTTGGTTAGGAGAGTTTGAATTTTCTTCCCCAAATCCTCTTGCGCTTTGGCTTTCTTGTTGAATTCTTCCATGCCGAATTTTTTCTTGCACCCTTAATTTTGCGAAGGCGTGCTGGGGATAAAGGGCACCGCCGACCGAAAATTCTCTCGGAAGTGGTGCTTGTATAAGGATGGTACCACCGGACTGCAGTCTCACAGCCCGAAATTGTAGACTTGGAAATGGTACCGGATTAGGGGATGAACACCACCGAACCGCAGTCTCACGGCCCGAAAATTGTAGACTTGGAAATGGTGCTCTAGTAAAAAAGGAGTGGTGCCACTGGACTGCAGTCTCACAGCCCTAGTTTTTAAACTTGGAAGGTGGCACCTGGTTCAGTAATGGCTCGAAGGACCATGAACAATTCTGGGGTAGAATTGTGGGAGTGAGTAAAAAGCCAATAAAGCTTAATACTAATTTTATTCAAAACAACCTAACTTATTTATACAAATCTATCCATTTACAGCGTATGAGGGGTTCTAAACTAAAAGTAATGAGAAATATGAAATTGTATTGCGACCCAGTTTCTTGTATGTTCTTTCGTTTCATTACTGCTGCCTTTTTAACGCTGACGATAGTGCTTGTGCGGTGGTCAGCGTTTCGTAGTTCTGGTGCTTGCAATTCCATGTTTCAGCGTTCTACATTCCTGTCGTTGATCCTGGCCTCCTTACTGGTGACGTAAAGAGGAAATTTAAATTTAAGAAAACCCATAGGCCCCGGTACGAAGCCTATGGGTTTTCCTAGTACCTATGTGTGTCGGTGACGACGGCCGAGCGCTAGAAAAAGGCCTGGAAGCGGAAGTATGGGTTTAAATAGAGGCCACCTTCGGGAACGATTCAGTCGAGTGTAGTCCAGACAACGAGAGGTGAATTCAGCTAACAAGTCGAGTCCAACGAGTGTCGAGAAAAACCAGTGAATTATTTTGTACATAATCACTCTGTAATTAGTCGTGTAAATCCAAGTTACTAAGAAATAAATTGTTGACTTTTACCCACGTCGATTTTATTCACCGATCGACGTAACAATACTAACTTAACAGCATTTGAATTGCGTCGAGCAAGTTCAGCAGATCCTTTAATTGTTTTAACTGCATAGGAATTTTATCATGTCTAATCACCATTTTGGAAAACTTAGTTTTCGCTAAAGCAGATTTCTTACGAAGGACCATACGCGCAATTTCAGGAGTCTTGATCTTCAACTTGAACAAACGAGGTCTATTCCCATTAAATTTACCAACACGAACAACACAACCTTAAGAGACGAGAGCATCTGTATCTATCAATTCTAGAATATCATTTGCCACTGTAACATCATGAATAGTGGGATCTTCAGGAACATAATTAAAATAACGTTGGTAGCACGAAGGGCTCTTTCCAATGATTCCTGGATGATTTCTTTTTTCATGGTCACGTCAAGCTTAGGCGACTTTACTGCAGTTTCAATGGCCCCAGGCTTCTTTCAAGCAACGGCTGCATACGCAACAAATTCTTCTTCAACTCATTAAAATGAAGAAAATTTACCTCACAGTTCTTGCACACAATGTGAATACTTTTCGATTTGGTTCGTTGTAAAAAGGCAATATCATCAGCCGTTAGAACAGTTGAGGAAGAGTTCAATGGTGTGTGCGATAAGATAATCGGCAGGATTGAAACACTGAGATAGTGAATATAATAGCAGATTACATAAGAATCACTGGAGTAAATTTGGCATAAGTATCACCAGAAGGAGAGCACGAAAAACTGCATCGATTGATATAACTGTCACTAATATAAACACTGATATTATGTTAAATTATCAATTATGTGAAGACGAGAAGTCCATTAGTCGTGATAACAATGACAGCTTTTTAGTGAATGTAATGTTAAAGTAAATGTAAAGAAGAGTGTTACGCGTATATTTCAAATGAGTTTTTACTTTACAAAATTTTGTGTCGTCACTACTTTTGCAAGGACACGTAAATCAACTTGGATTGGTGCAATGTAATGCTAATAATAATAGTATTGTTTTGATAGTTTATTATAAACAATTTCACTAAACTGACTAAATAACTATTGTTATTGATTATATTATTCTTACGAATCATTTATAATATGATATCTAAAATTTCTTTAGTAAATCTTTTGTTGACTGTCGCAAAATATCTAAACTAATTTTAAGCCGAGGTGCTTAACAAAACGACAATGTATTTGTGTCATTATATTTTTATTTTTTCATTACCAACTATATTTAGACTATTATCATATAAAAGGGACGTTATGTCTGACCTTACAGAAATATCAATTAATTTGTCTAGACCTATAATCCAAAAATATATAGCGAAGTATTAGAAACTAATTTCTGCATCTTTAATAAACACTACAAGACGTTTTATGTTGCTTAATATTTTATATGGTATATATTAATATTTGAACGCTAAATACTTATTACAACGTACCATAAGGAAAAGACGAAGTATTATTGTCTAGTAAGCTCACACAATAGAATGGATAGCTATTTTGAAATTAAGCTTTCCAAAGGTATTTTTTCATAAAAATTTATAACTCGTGTAAGAAACGTGATTCATTACAGAAGATCATCTTAAGTGGGTTCGGTTCTTAATAATCACAATTTTCCAAAACAAGCATTATCGACGGGCAAGAAAAGTGGCTTTCTTAACTGATCTATGTTTAACAATTACCTATATCTATTTTCTTATAACCATTTTTGAGACAGCTTTTTTGTATAAATTTCTTGCAGCATTTTTAGCAACGACATCGGTATCCAAGCAATCTCATATCATATGTTATCGGAATATTTACTAATTTTGTTGCAGGCCCTTGTTATCAACATCTGTTTGTTCTGTGCTGACAAATATTTCAAATCTGTCGATACGTTAGCTTCTTCTCTTTTATGGTCTATCGATACGACCACGACACGAACAAAGCAAAAAACTCTTAAAGAATTTAAATACGTCACGTTTGTCGTAATAGTTAATAGCGTATTAGGAGTTGTAGCAGGATTCCTGTTAATACCTATTGGTAAAGAGCAGGAATATGACTTTGCTATTTTCTTCTTTAGAAATTATATGCCTTCTTCTCGTTATGTTCTAGAACTAATGCATTTTTTGAGATTTCCGGTAATCTCATACATGATGGTAACATCAGCAAGTATTTTAGCATATTACACATGTCATGTTAAAAGTCAGTTATACCTTTTGGCGGACGTTATATCGTATATCACCAATGACTTCGTGGGATTTCTTGACTACGATCTTATACGCAACAGGCAATATCAGGAAATTGTACGAAGAAGAGAGAAGTTTCTAATCGAACGACACGTTGACCTCCTCAGGTAACATAGTGTTTATTGTTGCTATAAATATGTTAAAAATTTTTGATTTAAATATGTATATATTGTCTTTAGACTTTTGGGAATAGCGAACAAATTAGTTGCTAAACTTTTTCCTTGGATGTCTTTGGGTTTTGTCGCCATGCTTCTCAGTGTATTGAGTTCCGCATATTTTGTGGTAAGTATGGTAATTTCAAAATCAAAATTAATTTTAGCTAGTGCCACTTTTAGGAAACTGATTATCCGTATTGGTACTACCTTCGCCACATTGTTTTGGTTTTAAGTTCCGCTCTAGCAGGGGGTCTGCTCATCCAGTGTGGACAGGATATTGAAAGCGAGGTTGGTTGCTCTTAGTTATTGGACACAAATTCAAGAACAAACATGTAACTAAATAAGTCAGTATTAGAAAAATAACTCAATTTTTAGAGTCAAGAAATTCTTTTTACTGTTGTCAACATTCGTTGGACCAGTTTTAATCAAAGTAATAAAAAAACAGCTCTAATAGCACTAACTGTAGCTCAAAATCCTATTAAGTTAAAATTTACAGAGAAGGTGTCCGTTAATTATTCACTAGGTCTAAGGGTAAGTAAGAAATGAAATTTGGAATTATTTGAAATATGTTTATGTTGAAGATCGTGCGAACTCTTTTTTCTTTTTGTGCATTTTTTTCTAATGTTAAAAATTATGGCAACAAAAACTAATTAATAAATACAATATAATAATAATAATAATAATAATAAAACACAGTTGAAAGATCAATACGTAGCGAGATTAAAATTAATATTGAAGACACAGTTAAATGGAAAAAATTTAATGAAAGCAGTAAATACATTCTGCGTTCCACTGCTAACATATTCTTTTGGAGTCATTAAATGGTCCAAAACTGATCTTGAAAATTTAAACATCGCAACAAGGAAAATCTTCACACAGTATAGAAGGCATCACCCAAAATCGTCGATTGAAAGATTCTCATTACCAAGACAGAATGGAGGAAGGGGTTTCCAGAACTTAGAAAACTTATATCAGAGACAAATTTCAGATTTGAAGAAGTATTTCTTGAAACGAGCGGAAAGAAATGAAATGTTTCACACCATCACAAGAGCAGATTTGAACCACACACCCTTAAATCTGTCGAACACCGAAGAAATCCACACCCCCCACACAATAGATAAAATAATAAGTGGGCTAAAACAAAAACAACTACATGGAAAATTCTACAAAGACTTAGAAGAAAATCATGTCAATAAGAAGATGTCATTGATTTGGTTAAAAAAATCAAGTTTGTATGCCGAAACAGAAGGATTTGTGTTTGCTATTCAAGACCAAGTAATCAATACCAAGAATTATAGAAAATACATCATCAAAGATCCGAACATAAAAAACGACTGCTGTCGCCTATGCAAAGCAAAACCTGAAACGATCCAGCACATAATCTCTTCTTGCAGCATCCTAGCACAAACTGATTACAAAGCTAGACACGACAACGCAGCCAAAATCATTCACAAAGAATTAGCAACACTTATGAACTTAATCGAAGATACGACACCCTATTACACTTACATTCCGTCTCCATTCCTTGAAAATAACAAATACAAATTATACTGGGATCGCACAATACTTACAGACTTATTAAACATTACAGCTAACAGACCAGACATCATACTTATCAAAAAACACACGAACGAAGCCATTCTCATTGACATTGCTATTCCTAACACAAACAACATTATTCAAACATACGACACCAAGATTTCAAAATATCTACAATTATCGATAGAAATGAAATCCATGTTAAATCTTAAAAAAATTTCAATTCTACCCCTAGTTATCTCTAATGTAGGTGTAGTTCCAAATAGCTTAGTTGAGAATTTAAAGTCTTTGCATTTGAATGATTCAATAATTGTCAAAATTCAAAAAGCTGTTTTGTTAGGAACATGTCATATTGTTCGTAAGTTTCTTGAACAGTCTGATCATGTCAGTCAGATTAGATTAGCACCAGTAGGTCAGAGTAGTGTAGGTCACTTTTCATGTGATGCGCGGATAAATGGTCGGTAGTTACGCTGGACTTTTGGGGATGGGGTGAGATTAGAGAATAATAGCAGACTAATTTGTATGCTGTAATTCTAGAATCTCGAAAGTTGTTCTGTTAATCTAATCAATGCATATCATTACTTGGTCTTAGTACCCGTAATGATAGAAGTCTTGCCTGAATGCCGGTCATTTCCGGGTCAGTGGTGGGTCTTATTAAAATAATAAGTTTATTAAAGCTAATACATTACAAATGTTTACTCAAGTCACACACTTAGATACTAATAATAATTAAACTAATTCAAAATATATCTCAATAGAATCAAATTTCTTTAAGTTGAGAAACAACACAAAATTCATCAAGGCTAAAGAATGCCTTTCTCGCCAGAAATAATTTAATTCTTTTTTTGAAAACCTCTTTCCTCAAGCTTTTTATAACAGGTGGAAGAGCGTTATAAAATTTAACAGCAAAATAGTCTGATCCTCTTGACTTATTTATACGCGTAAAGTTAGGACGAAAGAGATCACAAGATCTTGTCATGTACATATGATCGGCAGTGATAAATTCTGAAATATGAGAATGAATATACATTAAACAATGAAGTATATAAACGGAAGGGACGGTAAGGATCCTTAAATCTTTAAATACATGTCGACATTCTTGTCTATATCCCAGACCAGCTATGACACGTATACATTTCCTTTGAAATGAAAAGATTCTTGCAGCATGAGGAGAATGACCCCACAGAAGAATACCATAAGAAATTAGGCTACCAACACAAGAATGATACACAGTCAACAATGTTTCAAGTGCAACAACACCATGCATTTGTCTGAGAACAAAGAGATTTTTGGCAATTCTGTCTAGAATATAGTCCACATGAAAATTCCAACACAAAGTTGTGTCTAACACAATACCTAGCAACTTAATACTCTTTTTTTTGCAATCTAATGTCCTAGGAGAGCAAATCAAATTTTGGCTTTTATCTTTATTAATCACTAATTTGTTACTTAATGACCATCTAGTAAAATATTCATTAGAAACATTATCATTATTACTTAGCTTTGCAATATCATCACTGGTATTAGTAATTGTAGTATCATCTGCAAAGAGAGTTATTTTGCCAGTTGGTGCAGCTTGTGGCAAGTCATTAATATATATAAGGAAAAGTATGGGACCCAGTACTGATCCTTGTGGAACACCTTTCTTAATATACGTTGTGTCTGATTTGTCACCATTAACATAAACAAACTGACATCTACAACGGAGGTAGGATTCAAGGAAAGTTATGGAATTTTGATCAATAGAAAGCCATTTTAACTTTGTGCATAAAATGTCGTGATCGACACGATCAAAAGCTTTAGAAAGGTCATAACAAGTAACAGAAGCATATTCTTTGGATTCAAATGTAGCTAATATGATGTCACAGATTGTCTTAACAGCAAGAGTTGTTGAAAGATTATGTCTAAAACCGAATTGGGAAGGATGAATTAATTGGTTACTTTCTAAATAGTCAACTAATTGGTTTTTCATGCAAACTTCCAGAATTTTGCCTAAAACTGGAACAAGAGAAATAGGACGGTAATTACCAACATCAAATATGTTGCCCTTTTTATGAAGTGGAATAACTTTAGATATTTTAAGAGCATCGGGGAATATGTTGTGCATTAAGCATTTATTAATAAGTTTAGTGAGCGGAGATATCAACACATTTATTGTAGACTTTACAATATAGGAAGATATATTATAGGCATCTACACTTTTTGAGCGCTTCATGTTGTTAATTATATTTCTAATATCAATTTGGGAAATCTGACAAAATGTGAAATGCTGATCCCCTCGCAAATTTGGCTTGAAGTCATTGTAACTAACACTATTAATAAGTCCTAAATCATTGTCATTTATAACATTCAAGAAGTAATTATTAAAATCATTAGAAGATAATTCAGGAGGAATGTCATGTTTTTTTGAGTTCTTTTTATATGAGTTTATCACATCCCAGGAGGCTTTTTGTTTATTGTTTGACTTAGAAATGTAATTGTCGTAGGCTCTCTTTTTTGATTCAATTATAGCTTTACGGTAAATATTTCTAATATAATGTGCTGTATCATCCGTTCCTTGGTCTATTTCATATTTTCAATAAAGAATGAGACTTATTACGGTGTGTTATGTTTTACTGCACCTACACACAACTACAAGTTGTAGTTAATTTTCTGTGGTACATACATCGTGCGGCTTGTCAATTTCATGTTTTCTCGATGTTTCATAACCCGTAGAGTACGAAGAAGTGCTGCCTCGTTCCCGTGTATCTGTCGCCTGTCTGTCTGTCTGTCTGTACGTCCGTCCGTTCGTCTGTCTGTCTGTCTGTGTCAATTTTTATTAGACAGATAATGTCCGAATTTACTGGACCGATTGTTCATGTACATCAGAAATATTATGTAAATGGTAAAAGGCTAACCAACATTTGGCTAATCATCTGCACCAACAGTTTGATGAAGTCATTATATTGTATAATTAACATTACCAAAATGGTATTACATAATCTACTCTAGTATACTTGTAATTTACGAATCTATCTTTTATTGTTTAATCCGCCTTGTTCTTTACGCTAATAGTACGGACTCGTGTTACATCTGGCATAGCGCAGTTGTAAAGTTCCACCTTACAGATCCAGGGTCGAACGACAGAATAAAAATAATGAAAATATTCAGAACATTTTGTTCGATTGTGGCTTAATTAATAATAATAATAATAATAATAAACTTTATTTCCATCGGACAATTCTGTCCATAGTGGACATAGAGACACTAATATATTACTTTAACTTAATAATAAATTTACTAAACACTAAAAACTAAAAACCAAACAAAATAAAAAATAAGTAATAAGAAACAACACTAAAAAACTTAATAGTTCATAAGCACCAAAATAAAAATTTAGAAATCCCTGCTTTTAATCCTTAATTGACATTAATTTTTTACGCATGGCCTTTGTTTGAAACTTATCATGAAAAATATCAATGTCCTGATTGCAAACATTATTGTACAATCTAAAGCACTTAATTAGAGCAGAGTTAAAATGGTGATACGTTCGAGGAATTGCAAAATAAAAAATGTTAACATTTCTGCGGGTAAAATTAGGAACAACAATCTTTATTTCACTCAGCAAATTATAACTACATATTCCACCACATACAAGCTTTTGAAGGAATGATAAAAGAAACATATTCCGTCTAGATAACAGACTCTCCTCATTAACAATGCGAAGTAAATCAGCATGATCATGATGCCTTATAGGATAGTAACCAAAAGTCTTGAAATACATAAATTTACAAAATTTCCTATTAACCAATTCAAGAGCATCTATATAGATTTGATGATGAGGTGTCCAGATAATACAACAATACTCCAACTTTGAACGCACAAGTGCATAGAAAAGAATTCTAATGCATGATAAGATATCAAATTCTCTGGCAATTCTAAAAATAAAACCTAAAGTTTTCAACGTGGTATTTATCAATTGCAATATTTGAGGCACAAAAGTTAATTCATTGTCGATGATAATACCTAAGTCTGACAATTGATCAACCATTTATATTATAATAAAAATAAATATGATTTTTCTTCCTAGAAAATTTTAGAACTCTACACTTATCTTTGTTAACCTCCAAACAGTTTCTTTTACACCAATAAATGAAATTATCTAAGTCCTGTTGCAGTTCAAGACAATCATCATATGAATTAATGACTTTAGCAATTTTTTTATCATCAGCATACAGATATGAATGAGAACTAATGTTATCTAACACATCATTAAAGAACAAAATGAACAATAGCGGTCCTAAATTCGAACCCTGGGCAACACCTGAATGAGCACAAAAACTCCCTGAGACAAAACCCTTATATTCTACATATTGCACTCTTTTTGTTATAACAGATTGCATCAAAGAAACTAATCCGTCACACAAGCCAAAATTTCTAAGTTTTTTTAATAGAATGCAGTGGTGAACCTTATCAAATGCCTTCGACAGATCTGTATATATAACGTCAACTTCATTAGCTTTATCTAATTCTTGTGAAATAAAATTAGTAAATTCACACAAATTTGTTGCTGTCGATTTTCCCTTAACAAATCCATGTTGCTCAGGCATAATCATATTATTGACATGAGAGTATATGATATTGCTCAACATGGATTCATATAACTTAGCGAAATTTGATAAAATTGCTATCGGCCTATAATTTTTTACGCACCCTTTGTCCCCAGATTTAAAAATAGGACACACTCTCGATTGCTTCCACACTACAGGATATTCTGACTTCAGTGCAATTAGGTTGAATATTCGCGCTAACGGAGCCGCAAAACTTCTTATACAATCGACAACAATGAAGGCCGGAATATTGTCAGGACCACTAACACTGTTACTCTTTAGTTTTTTACCCGCTCTAACTATCATATCTTCATCAATCTTAAAGTTGTGCATCATGTTAACACCACCACAGTCATTTAAATCGTACTCAAGCGAAGGACAGCAAGACAACTTACAAAATTCACACTGTTTGCTTACGTCCTTGCTTACACAGACATCTTCACATACATGTTTTATATAAACACCCGCAAAAAACTGAGCAAAAACATTGACAATTGCTTGAGAAGATGAAAATTCTTGATCTTCATGTACTACAACTCCTGGTATGCTGGTTGTTCTTTTCTTGGAGTTTACAAAAGACCAAAACGTTTTGGGATCATTTAATATAGAATTTTGTGTATTACGCAGGAAGATGTCATAATTATTACGAATGTCACGTTTAATTTGTTGTCTTAAGCATCTAAGATTTTCCAAGATGTGGGGAGATTTAGTTTTCCGATATTTATTCCAATAATGTTTTTTCAATTTTATATTGTCAATTATCGTTTTAGTAAACCAAACGGGATATGTATTGGTCAAGTTTGAGAACTTACAAGTCGGAACATGCTTCGAGAAGATTTTGTATAAAGTATCGTATAGATAATCGCATGCTAAGTTCACATTGTTAATGTTATTTATTACGGTCCAGTCAATAGCTGCGATTTCAGCATACAATTGAGGAAAATTGGCTTTTTTAAAATTAAACCTAATGTTGTGTCCGTTACCTTCAAAGAACGTGTTGTTTGGCTTAACACTCTCTATAAAAATTCTCAGGCAGGGATGATGCACATCTTCTTGTAGAAGTGGTAATGGTTCCCTAATTACTTCAGTATTCAATTGATTATTTGATAAGACCAGATCCAGTAACCTATTGTTTACATTGACAATTGCATTACTCTGTTTTAAGTCATTTAATGTTATGAAATTATTATAAGTATTGTAAAAACCAGTTGTTCTATTTCCAAGCGTACACTCATTCAGTTCTGGAATGTTAAAATCTCCCAATATTAATACAGGATGGGTAAAGTCTACAGTATTTTTAATATAATCAAAAATTTCAGCATAATCATTAATTAAACATGTAGGTGGTATGTATAAATTAATTATAGTTATCCAAAAGAATTTGTCTTCTGTTATCTTCACAACCACAAGATCAATTTCAGGTATAGGACTAATTAGGTGGATTTGCTGGACAAAAAATTAATAACTTTAGTCTTCTATATTGAGGCAACAAACTCATTCAAATCAAACAAATTTCTAGTGACCTTTTTCGAATGTATAAACATAAACATTTGAAGTTAAGCATTATTGCTGAGAGGCCATTCTTTCCCGTTGGTATCTGCTTTAAATACAGAGCCTGCGAGGGTGTTATTTATGCCGCTAATTTTTATTTTATAGAGGTAATCACCAAACTAAGAAACGGGATAGGTTGGACTTGTACTTTAAGCGCGACGAAAGTCCTTTCGAAATCAATTTCGACCAATGTTTTTGTCTGTAGAACCTTTTAAGTTGCTCAGTTGTATACGTAAAGGATATAGACTTTGTGGTTATATGTATTCGCTTTTGATCATTGATGCTATCAGTTTACATTATTATTGAATTTCGTACAGGAGTAAGAACGCATCGTAGCTATGCTCAGATGATGAACCACTTTCATTTGGTTAGTTTATTACTCGATATATTTTTTATTAGACTTTTTGTCATTGCGAATCTTATTACAGTGACCTTGTATGAATTTTATGAATGTTTGGATATCTGCTGCGACAAGGTGAAATTTACGTGGTGACGTATATAAACTGCGCGTCAAAAGTTAAGGACACCGATGAAAGCCATGTTTATTATTATTTATTTTTACTTTTCCAAATGTTTGTAGGCTTAAGTTCAATTAATAAAAATATACCTAACTTTTGACGCACAGTTTATTATGTGAAAAACTGGAAATATGTAAATTCCAATGAAGATTACCATGAGTAAGTTTTTGAACACTGTCATTTCACATAGTACTTGTATGAAAGTCATCAAAATCAAACGCGAATTTCGAGGATGGCTTATCCGGTACATAATTTTATAATTAGCTATTAAGATAACTAGAGTTTTATAGGCAGTTGAAAAAGCGAGGTCGTAAAAGCGGATGACCGCAGGGGGTGAGGATTTAATAAAGCGGGATTTTTAAACTAAATATAAAATACTAGTTGACGTCAAGATTTTTCTAACTCTAATAACTTTGTGAAAATTTTCTTTCTTTAAAATAATCATTATTTGAGACGTCACAATAGACAAAATGCAAACATTATCGTAGTTACAATGATAATAATATTAGCAAAATTTTGAAAAAAAAGCATCGTTGAATTGTGCGAAAACCTTCCGGAAGAAATCCAAATTGTGCCATTGTCTTTTATGGAAAATACCGTATTTTAAAGGTATCCTAACAGCTCAGCTCAAATGCGCTATAAAAACAGTATAAGATATTAGTGTAAGAAAAAATTCTTAACTTCATTAAAACTTGACACTGCAAACTTAACAGTTCTTTTTAATTTTTCCTCTGTAACGCTTATAATTAGATACTACAAACAGATGAAGCACGAAAATTAAAAAAAATGTCTCACTATATTTAAATTCAAGCGTAATTTAAATAAAATTTAAAATTACAATGGTAAATAATAAATATTGCTCAAAAAAAATGTATGTTCATAAAAATTAAGGAAAAACCAAATTAGAACAACACGAATAAATTTTCGAATACTTCTACAATTAAAAATTGTCAATTAAGAATAAAACCGAACATTGGAAAAACTATAAATAAAATTATACGGCTACATTAGTATTACAAATATGTAATAATATGTTACAGCTTGCTTATCAGAAATTATGTAATAGGAGTATTTTATTTCTTATATAGAGCAAGAATAAAATAAAAAATAATCAAAGACCAATTTATTCATTATATAAAATCGACCTTTCCAGTCTTAATTTTTGAATGAATGAATATTGCCATTTCTATTGAAACACTACTTGTTGATCATAAATTTGGCAACTTTTATATACGGACAATTTTCTAACTAAAAGCCATTCACAATCAACCGAAAACTGCTACCATTTGCCAAATTTTAACATGTTTTATGTTAAAACACTCAGTTTAATGTGACAAGAGGGTGAGTGTTAATTTGATGGAATATGGAATATTTGAAAGAGCAAGGGGCATTAATTGACACCTCTTTCAGTTCTGAATAGCCATATGAATAAACAAAAGCCTTTAGTACCAATGTGTACCTACATTTTAATAAGAAAGTCTCTTTCTTAGACCTTAAAAAATACGTAGGAAATAGCTGAGACAAATATTTAAACGTTTAGTGTTTGGAGGTACCATTTACAATATTTGAAATACTTTTTTCAGAGTTCTGATGTTCAACGGTTTCCAGTGGTTTTACTGTTAAATATTTAATTACCTCACGGTCATGTTGCAGATTGTCAAAAACAATATCTAAAATTAATGGATTAAACTAAAATACATTACAAAAATAAATAATATAAGGACTTCAGATAATCCATATTTTTTTATAGTAATGCTGTTTATCAAAACTGTTGAAATGTTTATGTTCTTGGGTGACACCGTTAAAACAAATTGGTCCGATAAAACCCGCTTCTTTAAAAAATTATAAAATTTGATTCTGCGTTTTTTCTTTTTGTGATAATCTCTATAAAGTAAAAACTAGCGGCATAAATAATACCCCCGTAGCCACTGCGCCAAGAATTTGCGCTCCCAAGTACGGACAATATGAAATATTTTTGAAACAGATAACCAACGGGAAAAATTATCCGCTCAGCACTAATAACAAGTTTCACTTATTAAAGTGTTTATGTATATACATCAAAAGAATGTCACAAAGAAATTAGTTCATTTTGAATGAATTGGACTCTTCAAAATACAGGACTAAAATTGTTGAGCCAAAATCGAACAAAATGCTCGGAATATTATAATCCTTATTTTTTCATTATTAAATAAAGACGTATGTATTCTCACATTTTCGAGAAAATGGGGTGACTCGTTCTTAATTTGATCAACAAAAAATTTGTTATGACGTCCTCACCATACTAGTACTGGTAAAATGCTGTTAGACTGTGTTAATTTTTTTGCGAAATTTTGGGCCTTTAGGGAAAAAACGCAAAGCGGATTCTATACACAAACATAATTTCAAAATATAGTTGTTTGATATCACGTCATCAAATTGTTGGTGGGGATGATTTGCCAAATTTTGGTTAGCGTTTAACCACCTACATGATATTGCAAATCAACGTACAAAATTTGACAACAATCGGTTCCGGTGATTTCGTAGATTATTATCTGTCTAACAAAAATTGGCAGAGACGGTGGACAGACAGACAGACGGAAGCGTGAAACTTATGTTTTTGTACTCTAGGGGTCATGACACATTGAGAAAATGTGAAAATACCTAGTCGCCGGGTGGACTTCATTATAATACTCCCTTAGGTGAGCTCGGGAAGTAAAAATCCAAGATGCTGTCATGGAATGAAATAGAAACTTTTCTAAAAATTTCAAACGATGGAGAATATTTCTGTTTGTGAAGGTAGGAGGAAAAGTGAAAAGTGTTCTTAAATGTGCTTGATGTTAATATTTTGTAGGTTGCCGTACTCTTCAGCAGTAGGAGAGTAGAGTTTTGTAATGTGGAATGCAGTGATATAATGGGCTATGGCAATGTCTTGAATATTACAATCCGTGATACCAAAACTCATAAAGACCGTAGATTTAATATCATTAACAATGGCTTTATCGTCAATCCATTTGATTTGTTCGTCAACTTATGTTGCCTTACGTCCTACAAATGCACCGTCAAGATTTTTTCTTCAATGGGTTACAAGGCATACATTCTGTCACAATTCAGAGACGCTCTTCATAATCGAGGTAATTTTTGTATCTAATTAATGGTATGTTAATAAATATAACATTTACAATCTAGGTGTTATTATTATTATTTTTATTTATTATTTATTTTTATGCATATTTACTTTGACTTGCAATGTCACTTTTAATTATATCATACTTGCTATGCTTACGCATCGTACGGTGTCAATATTACGGGATTAAAGAGCCATGGAGGGTAGGAGTCTACGAAAATAGCTGAACCCTACATAGAAGAATCCTTTAAAAAAGATGTAAAAATTACCAAAAGCGTTTTTGATAATGAAGTGAGGCAATAAGATGCAAGGACACCTTAGCCCAGCACTACTGCTAGCGACAAATCAATTAGCATAATAATAATTGTAGCTCTAATTTTTATAATTATGATAAAAGTTACTTGTTGTTCAGTGTTTCATGAACTCATAAAGTACGTTGCTAGGGGCATCAATTGGGGTGCTTTATCGAAAATATATTTTAGTATTTTGTCCCAGGGATATTTCGAAAACTACAAAAAATTATAAAAACTTCTTGTTTTTCAAAAAATAAACTTTGTATTTGTTAGAATAATATGTAAGTGTAAATCATGGTGAATAAGTAAATTTCTACCTACTGCAGTCAAAAGTAATGACTATTGACTTTACTTTTTCTTATAGGCCATATTGACTTTTAACTTTTCAGAAGAATGAACATTGTAATTACTTCCTGATTATAAGCTAAGGAAGTATTGTAATAAGGTACAATACTTTTCTCGACGTTTCATGATGTTTTATGAGACAGAATCTCCGAAACTATATACTACACCGACTGTCAAATTTTATATGTACGTTAGGAATACCATACAGATGGTAAAACGATAACCAAAATTGGTTTAGTCATCCCACCAACAATGGAATTATATCATTTCCAAAATTTATAATAGTAATAAATGTTATTTAAATTTTGTATAACAACATATTGCAATTTAACTTTGAAACTACAAAACCGAATGCTCTGAAATCTTGCAAACGTTTTAAGTTTGATGATAAATCGTTGTGATGACGTCATCTCAAAATTTTGCCGAATATTAAAAATATTCAAAATATAGTCTAAACTTGTGGTTTACCAATGCATTCATAGTTTTTAAAATTAATTATACAGGCTACTTCAAAAAATTGTTGAAAAAGGCAATCTATTTTTTTTATCAAATCAAGAACGCCTCACCTGAGTTTTCTTTACTTTTTCGGTACAGTATTGCTATTATTAGTACAATGTATACTTACTCAAACTGAGGTACGTATCCTTGCTGCGTCCTTGTTGATAACGTTATTAAAATTTTATACAGTATGTCCCCGGATTAAGTTCACAACACGAAAAAAAGCTGTATTTTCTATTTTACAAAAAAATGACAGGAATAACATTTTTTGCTTAATTCAAAACGAATAAATCTGCAATTAAAACTTCAATATTCCTGGTCTGTACTCTTAAATTAATTTTTTCATATTTCTAAGTTCTTCGTTACTTTCAGTTTTTTTCGATTTTAAGGACACAGCCTGATAATATTAAAATTTTAATTGCAGATTTATTTCGTTTTAAATTAAGCAAAACATGTTATTCCTATGTCATTTTTTTGTAAAATAGAAAATACAGGTTTTTTTTTCCTCTATTGTGAACTCAATGCGGGAACATACTGTATATATATATTAGTCTCTCGGTACTTACATAAAATATATGCTCCGAGTTATTTAAGTTCAACAATTTTGTTTGGCAAATATTTTTTCGACATCAATTAAATTATTGGTAACATCAAACAATGGTTAGTAAAATTTGAGACTTTGATAAACTAATCAAGTATTGGAGCGGCAAGTAAATACTTGCAGAAAGAATAATTGGTCCGCAAAAAGGATAATTGAGCAGTAGATTGGCTGACATATGTACGGATTTTATACATGAGTAGCAAAATAAATTATATTTCATCTGAATGTATCAGCGATTTACTATAATATTAAGCGATCAGCGTTCCTACGACTGTAACTAAAATGCTTTGTGAACGGATAATATAAAATGATTAACACTTTATTCGTAATATCAATTACTTAGTTGAACAGTCAGCAAAATCCTGTTAGAGTGGGTGGAGCGTATCAGATGGACCACCAATCAGTGCATGCAAATGCAGTGGTGGGCGCGATCATGGGCGCGATCTAACTATCCATGATTTGGACAAGTTCTTTCTACAGGTCATAACTTGTTTCCATGATTTCTTTTGTTTTATTTTACTACTGTTGTTTTGTTCTACCGCCTGCAGCTAAAACTGTACCAATCGGTGAAAAAACAAAAAGAAGCAGACCCTCTAAGGCTAAGCGAGCTCTTATTGTACAATAAGTTGTGTTAACTTTTATTTTTTGAAATAAGTACCTATTAATTTTGCCTTAGCGTACTTTCTTACATTGTCATTTGTCTTAAATATTATAGTTGGGCAAAAATGCTGGTAGATCGGTTTATTTGATATCCCTTATTACCAGCTGTTTTCTGTACCATTATTTTATTAGCAGTTAAAATGATAAAATAGCTTGTTGTGTAGAAATTAGTTCAAGAGTGAACACAATTCGACATTGTTTGAATTTTTTTATGCCAATGTACTTTTTCGGCTGCGCACAAAAATATTATTAGCTGATCACAAACTCATAAATCGCTGCTCAATCATCCATAGTTTATTATCGTGAGAACTAGACTTTCGCATTGTTTTTTTTCTTTATTTTGAACTGTAATAATATGATAATTCTGATATAACTTCAAAACAAAATCACATTTTTAATATTTGTAGCTTGTATCGTAAGCGTTGTCAAATATGATTCCTAAAATTTTTGCACTTTCAATTAACTTTAAATAAAAGGATTCAATGTCGAGATTAAGGTCTCTTTTAATCAAATTCGCGACTTTTTTGGGCTAAAAATGTAGTACAAGCAAACAAACAAACAAACAAACAAACAAACAAACAAACAAACAGACAGACAGGCAGACAGACAGACAGACAAATAGACAGACAGACAGACAGACAGACAGACAGACAGACAGACACAGACAGACAGACAGACAGACAGACAGCCAGACAGACAGCCAGACAAATAAATAAATGCTGTCAAATCCCAGATATTCAAGATTTGCATAAAATCATGATTAATGCAGCCAAAAGTTATGGCATTTAGAGACGGGTAAAAATAGTTCATGGGCTCGATTATTTATTTCTCCCAGTCCTCATTAACCTTGCCACTCTAGGGTCGCGCGACCGAACATGCAGCGATGGACTAAGCGAAACAGTAATATCGCGCGCTACTAAAGGAAAGTGGTGGGAGTCGCATGGCCTAAAACTGCATCTCTTTAGGCATAATCCAGTAAAATTAGACCTTAGTCTCTCGCTATCAACCAAATGAATTTATCCTTTAGGTATTCAATAATAATAATTAAATAATGTTTTAATACATATATAAAAAACTGACATCATTTTTCCACGTGTTGATATTGTACAAAATCTTAGGACTACTGAAGTATTCACTAGTTTAAATATTTAAAGAAATAAGATTAAGAAATTCAGAATCACGAGGCGTTTGTTAAAAAACTTGTACTAACTTATTAACTTTTTTGGGCAAACATAATTAGTTTACATTTTGTTTTCTGACAACAGATAACTTGAGGATAAAAATTTTACAACATACCGCGTGTGGTTCAGTAATAATTTCCAATTTCCATGTATATCTAAGCATGTAATGCAACTCATTTTTGAATATTCATCTCTAAAAAATTGTAGGTAAAGGTAGAAGACGTAAGCGGAAGTAACTAATATTAGCATAAAGGCATAAAAACTGACTAATAATTAAAAAAATAAATACAAATGCGATAGTTTTAAAGTAACAACGGCAATCACCTTTACTGGCTAGGTACCTAATAGGGTATTACCTATACACGCAAAAGCTAAAGTAGATGTGGCCATCATCGAAGAGGCACGAATGTGTAATCAAATGTTGGCAACAGTCAAATTGACATTTGTGTTTTGTGTATTTGTCAGCTGCCTTGGTTAATCGGTTTTTATACATTTTATTTGAATTGAATAAAAATTTACTGTTAATATATCTACTAATAGATCCGCCGCATATAGAGGGACATCTTTATCATATGAAAGTCACTATATTTAACACTTTTTGGTGATTTTGCCCTTACAGACGTGGCGCCTCTAGCGGTACAAAGTGGCAGTGGAATACCCTATAGACAATTAGACAAACCACTTCAGCACGCAAAACGTAGAAAAAACCGTTATATCTATGGAAACATAGCAAATGCCTCTATTAGCGATTGTGTACTTTAACGGATAATACGTTGTACGGAACATAATTTTAATTGTCTAGTAATTTGCGTTTTCGCACTTTACACGTGCAAGGTTTTCTTTGCTCTGATTAATGTTTTTATGAACTGCGGACAAAAAGTGCATTTCAAATCATTATCAGTTACCTTAGATTGTAAAAATGTTTGTGCTTTCTCCTTGTGTTGGTGTTAAAAGTAATTATTTGTAAGTACAAAATTTAGTTTCGCTGAAATTTTACGACCTACTACTTTTTAATATTATCCCATAATCGACTTTATTTTTTTAATCAATATCTGGAAACAACTATTATATATTGGAGCATAACTATGTGAGAACACCTAGTCGTTGTCTGAGATTGATGTAGTTTTGGCAGTTAATTTTTTAAAAGAGTTACCATTTTTGTGAACTGATTGGACTTTTCCAATCATATGATCAGTAGCGGCTCGTGGTTTTTCGTTAGGTGAGGCAACAATTTCGTTTCAAAATCAGCAGGTATTAATTAACATGTTGGCAATTACTTTTGTTAAAAGACAGATTATTTATTCGTTTTGATGAAAACAATACAAATAGCTTTGAGTCAGTAACATATCTCTATTCTATATGGGTACACTTCTCGAATAAAAAACATTTAATTGCTTCACACAAACCAACGAGAAGGTTTAAAGACTACAGAATTTGCTTTCTTAGCATTAAATATTAATTCATATGATCCAGGGCTAATTTAAATATATGTATTAATCAATTAATCAATAAAGTTCTCCTCAAATCTGGATGAGAGGTTCTAAATCTTTGACATACAATTGTTCGTCGTAAGAAAACCGTGCTTAAATATTTAAACTTTATAAGAAATTCTGGAGATTATAGATTCTTATGCTGCTATCAGCATTGCAAAACTGATATTTTCATTGTCCTACTCTGTTCAAGTTAACTTAAAAGTTTTAATACATAAGCTTGGCAATGCACATGCAGTGAACACCTTTCCTCGCGTCTAATTAATGCACAACTAAATGCACACTAAATGCATTCAGCATCCCTGTTCAGCATTGTGCAATTTCACCGTGAGATTAAAAAACCCGATCTGATTGGCTTAAGGACGGAAGGCGTTGGTGCCTCCGCTGGCGCTTTGATAAAGCACTGATGACTATTGTCTTACTCAAAAACATATTGGCACCACTGACTAATCATACTGAAGATATCCGTCTATCTGAGGCATGCCTCTGTCTGAAGCTGGCCTACACGGCGGTGATCAGCGCTTATTCCTGTCGAAAGCGCGTACTTCAAAATATGTTACCAAGACGCGTTTTAATAAATCACAGTGTTCCATAAAAGTTATTTGCTATATCTTTAAAATATATTTGAAGATTTTAAAACAAAAACTAATAGTCAATTTTTCCAGGGGAGGCACTGCCTCTCCTGCCTCCCCTGACGAGCCGCCACTGCATATGATAATAATCGGGTGTCTGTGATACACATTTTTATTCTAATTGTATCCGGGAACAATCTGCTGCTAACAAATACCAAAATACCTACTCCCTATTTAACTGATCTTTCTAGTTTTGCAGGGAATATTCTTTTGACAATAGAAAGTAATGTATTCTTAATTACTAATGTTTTTAAGCTGATTTTTCACAGATAGCTAATGAAAAACGAAAACCTCAAGATCAGTCAATTTTTTCAAAAATAATTCAAACAAATGTTCTCATCACTAAATTAATATTCTAAAATTAACTACTAATTCAAATTCTTCCATTTTGCTTCTTAGTACTTTACTTCGTATTGTAACCCTCCATTGCGACTTTGATGCTTGTAAAGTATTTGATCATCCTCTCTTCAGCAATTTTACTGCTTCTTTTATTCTTCTCGTCTCTTCTTGATTATCTTCATGTCCCGTAGTACAAATCTTCTTTTCAACGCTTTATTATGTCTTTTGTTAAATATATATTATTTCAGTAATTCTTTAACTTGATTTATTTTTTATTTCCTCATTTTTTCTGTCTAAGTAATCTTTGCTCTAAATATTCCAATAAAAATAAATGTTTCACCCAATCCTTTATGTTTCCAGCACTAAGCAAATGTTTGTAAAGTCACGGTTTTTCTTCAGGTAAATATACAGAATTCTTCAACATTTCTTTAGTAAGTGGTGTTACAGAACATATACATCGAAAAGAATTACGACAGATGAAAAAGAACTTAAAAATTTCACAGCTCTTGCCAAGGAGTGGTGGGATCCAAATGGAAGTTTAAGAGGTCTGCAAACTTTCAATAAATGTAGAATACCATGGATGAAAAATCGATTAATTGCTGTTGGTGTTATCAAACCAGATGTAGATGAAACTTGTTGTTTTCAGGAACTTTCATTTTTGGAAGTAGGCTGTGGTGGTACGTACATTTCTTATTCTTTTTTATTTTTAGATATAAAGAAAATGTTTCATTTAAAGCGATCGATTGAATTGTGCTAATTGGTAGAATTAACTTTGGTTATACTTTTATCCAGATCTATGGTCAAGCTTCTCGCAACGAAAATTGTCTTTTGGACAAGTACCTTACCCATTCTCTAAAAGATTTCTTTGTGCAGGTTGACATTTTGGAAAAAATTTAATCGATCGTTTAAGATGGAACACTTGTATCCATATATAAGATGTTATTCCAGGTGGAATATTGTCCGAAGATTTATGTCGTCTAGGTTGCCAAGTAACGGGGTTAGACGCAAACAAAACGCTGATTAACATTGCAAAAAACCATGCACATATAGGCCAATTAACGAATTTATCATACGTGCATGGAACGATCCAAGACTACGCCACTCAAAGCAGAGAACGATACGATGTCGTAGTAAGTTCTGAAACCATTGAACATGTGTCTGAAAAGGAAGAATTTGTGAAGTTTTGTGTGCAATGCCTTAAACCTGGAGGATCTATATTTATGACAACACCCAATAAAACATGGCTGTCGAGATTTTTTTGGACCTTTATAATGGAAGATTGTTTTCGCATTTTGCCCAAGGGCACACATTCGTACGACATGTTTATTCATTATAATGACTTGAAACAGTTAATGAGCAGTGGTAAATAGAAATCAAATCTCTTATTTGTTCTAATGACTATATTTATTTGTAATTTCAGAAAACTGTGATACTGTTTTTATTGGTGGCTTACTCCACAGTCCAGTGACACTTAATTGGTATTTGGTCAAAAATAAAAGTATATCGTATGCTATTCATGCAGTAAAAAGAAGCTAATTAAGAACGTACAACAATAATGAAATGAAAAAAAAAATCAAAAAAATATGATGTACTTGGAAATTGGGACTTGACAAATTTTATTTTAACTAAAGATTTGTTGCTTTAAAAAATTACTGAAAATTAATCTATGCATGCTAAAATCTTTTAAAATAAATATTTGAAACATTTGTAAAAATATGTTTGCTTTTGTCTTCATATTTATCAAATTTAAAATTTATTAATTAAGTAAATCAAAAAGAAGAAATTTATTTTAACAATTTTTACTGATTTTTACTAAAGTTTATACTAAAATGAAAACGTTCAATAACATTTAGTCAAAATCAATTGTTTTCTATGTGTTTGTTCCTGCTAGAGGTATGTGCCATATATCCGATATTTTCCGGGTGAAATAGTGTATCCTAAAAATACTGTATTCCAGCATATCTTTCAAATTTATTATTTTGGAAGAATAATTAAAAAAAAATTGTTGCACTCTTTGTACTTTACTTCGATTCTGTTTGTTTTTGGCACCATAGGGTAGTTATGTTTAGTTATATAAGTTATGTGTAGAAGACTGATTTATGTTTCTTGAGTTGTATGTATACAAAATGCCCAGCTCATTAACGAGTTTTATGTAAAATATTATTGAATAAAACTTACAGGTATCGATTTGAAACTGTGTTTTTTTCCTTCAATTTATTATAATTTACGTTGTAATCTATTATAAAATCCTAAGACCCGGTTTATAGAAAATTAATTAAAGTTAATTCGCGATTAACTTTTAATTGAGGTCCGTTGCTAGGCAATGTGTATGTTTTAACCAATCACGGGCTCATATTCTACATTTTAGTTCTCTGATAAATTATTATTCGAGGATTAAATATTTAATTCGCTGCCTATAAACCGACCCTAAAAGAGTTTTATTTCGTACTGTTTTCTGTGATTTAAAAGTAAGTAGTTTGAACTTAATATTTACTTGTCCTAAACGTGGACCTTAATTACATTTTGCATTAGATCAAATTACATTTCTCCTCGTAGAAATGGTGTATGTGCTATTTATTTATTGTTATTTCTTCAAATGTTAAAAACCGGTGATCCTCAACTCCGGTCCAAGGTCATCATATCTCGTTGTACTTGTACTTGGAGTGCCTTAATTCCTCGCGTTGACTCCGGTCCAAACTGATAAAAGCACCTATTGTAAACTTTGCTTAAATTTTAGCTGCCTCTTTTAAATTCCACTTTTAAAATTGGGTGCAAATAGAAACAAACGTGAAATTAAAATACGGTTTTGTAAATTGTCTCTAATAACTAACTATAACACAATTATTATGTTATAATACTTATAATTTACATCAAATTTTGTAATTGCATGGATGCTAATAAATACTGTTTAAATAAACATTTATTAAAATATTTTTTAAGGTTTTTCGCTTCGGTTTATTTAGTAATAATATTAAACGTTTAAACGTCTCTATTAGGGCGTCAATATTCACTTTTACTGCCGGATGAATTTATTATAATATAATGAAGAAAAAAAAATGGTCAGAAGTTATTTAAAATATAAAATCTAATTTTTTGAAATATATTTTTTATGATAACCCCTATTAGTTAAAATAAAGGTATATATGGAGTGATAAAGTGCAAGTAAACAAGCATGCGTATGTTTCAAGTGAGTTTTTCCATAAAAAAATTTCCTGTTGACCTCATCAACATTTTAGCAAGGACACATATATCAGTTTGAATGTCTACAGTATAATATTAATAGTAACAGTACTGTGTAATCAAATTTTCGGAAAAATCGAGCGAGCCTACAATAGATTATTTCATTTATTAATTATTTTGAGCCCTGTCTCCTGTGTAAGTAATTCCAAAAACTATGAGCCCATTAATAAACTACAAATATGAAACATAATATTTTGCATACTTATTTTATATAGAATTTATTGGTCAAAATTTTGAGATGACGTAGTCAATTTTTTGGAAGGGGCTAGGCGGATACATTTTCACTATCGATTGATCATGCCAACGATAACTTTAAAACGCTTGCAAGATTTCAGAGCATTCGGTTTTGCAGTTTCAAAATTAAATTGCAAAATATTGTGCTATATTTTTTCCAAAAATCTCAAGAAACGGGAGACCTACTTTTACGTACGAGTAGTGGTCATGACAGATCGCGAAAACATGAAAGTAGCCAGTCGCCCGGTGGACTCGGTTACAATACTTCCTTAGCTTACGATCGAACAGTAAAGATACAAGACCACAAGATAAATCTGCGACAAATAAATTAAAGTGATTTATTTATGTCACTTTCTTAGCACACGAAAGGTAGAACATCTTGTGCCTTCTTAATACAATGTTTTTACCATTGGACTTCACCTTCCCAAAATATGTCAGAAATAACGTAAAACGCTGTTCCCAATTATTGTAGTCTCATATGGGCATAACATATTATCTATATACCACATAACAATCTCTGCCCAAATTTTAACGTATTTTTTTCATAAAAAAAATAAAACATAATGATAATAATAATAATATATACGAATAATGTATATTTGCCATACAAAAAATACATGTGTTTTATTATTTAGGCGCATCAAATAAATTATATAAAATATAATGTTTATATAACATAAATAATAAACAAACAACATGTTCAAACAAATGTAAAACAATTAGGTACTACAAATTAAACTTATCGACTGACATTGGTGTTGACATATTCGTCGCAGTTGTAAAAACAATTTGACTCCAGAAATGTTCGTATTATATTAATAAATTTATTGCGATTCAATTGTATAATAATAATATAGTTATTAAAGAGTTTGATACTCATGTAAGCGCTTGACTGCTATGTCTTTAAACGATGTATTGGAATAACAAAATTTTGTTGGCTACGAGTGTTGTAATTACGGACGTCCGCATTTTTTACAAACGTTGCTTGATTTTCGTGTGCATGTAAAAGAAGCTAGACAGGAATAATATTTTCAGTATTTTGAACAGGCCAGGGCGCAGTATGCGAATAGCTCGTTTTTGTAAAACAAAAATTCTTGTTGCGTGGGTTCAGCTTCAGGGAAAGCAGGTGGGTGTATTTGCCCCTTCTCTCAGGCGCATGCAACATAAATAATCTCAAAATATCAGGACAAACAATTAAGGAAGATAATATTTTAAACAGAAATATAAAGTCAAACATCTTTCTCCTTACCTCTAATTGCAATAAACCCAAGTAAATCAGTATGACACAGTAATTAACATAAACAATACCACATTTAAAGCAAATAAATTTTACAAATCTCCTTTGAATTGACTCAAGCCCATTTATAAAATAAGGCGTCCAAATGACTGTACAATATTCAAGATTAGATCGTATTAAAGCGTTAAACAATAACAACAATGTACGAATATTAGAGAACTCCGAGCACATCCGTATAACAAAACCTAACAACTTCGATGTTTTGGACACGACATTATCAATATGGGCGTTGAAGTCTAATTTAGAATCAAATATAACACCTAGATCAGAACATAAAGAAACTTTTTTTAGGTAAGTATAAGACAAAGAATATTGATAATTAATTGAACAACGTTTTCGACTAAAAGTAATAAATTTACATTTAGGAATATTCAGTTATAATTTATTGTACTCACACCACATTTCAAAATTGTATAAATCAGCTTGAATAGCAAGACAAACATTTAACGACCCTATACACTTAAAAAATGTTACGTCAGCTGCAAAGAGAAGAATCTCACTACTATGTATTACATTAACAATGTCATTAACAAATAAAGAAACCAACACGGGTCTACGATGCGAACCCTGTGGAACACCAGAAACAGCATCTATACATCTGGATTTAATCCCATTAATTAAAGCAAATTGCTTACGATCAGACAAATTGCAATTGTCTGATCGTAATTGATTGCAGTCAAAGTCCAGCCAAGCAAGTTTAGCAATTAATAAACTAACATTTATCCTATCGAAAGCTTTCGACATGTCAGTGTAGATAATCGGTTGAATAATCTAACTCCATGCTTTCAGTAACATAGTACATAGTGAACACAAACAGATTTGTGGCAGACGAACGACCTTTACAAAAACCGTGTTGGTTGTTACAGATAATATTTTAATAATGTCGTTTTTTGGAATATTTGGTCTTTCCTTGATATTTTTCCATAGTTCACGATTGTTTTTTCGCAATATGTTAGTAACATTACTTGGATTTAGATATAGAGTACCTTCACTTTTCGCTTCAGTACAGTTTAAATTAGGGTATTTTTGTCTTATTTTGATTGTGAATAAAATAGTGTACAAACCTCGGGGAAAGTTTCACTCCGTCCTCGAGCATTAATTCACCTCAAAGTATTGTAAAGTAATGAAACACTTTCCATCTTGGTATGTAATACACTGTTCTTAGTTTTTTTTTTTTTAATTTTCAGGGTCTACTCTGCAACGCTTTTGGCTGCTGCAAAATGCCTACAGTAATTTAATTTTAGCTACCACATAACAAAAAAATATATTTTAACCTTATATTTTTATTCCCTTAATTACCCAACTATATTTAGATTAATGTAATTAAGCATGAAGCGGTATGTTTGACCTCACGAAACATCAATAATTGTTTAGATTTATAATTAATAGCCCAATATCAGAAATCGTTAATAGATACTGTACTGGCTTTTCGGTTAATGGATATTTGAACGCAATATATTACAACACACCATTACGAAAACAACAGAACATTATTGTCGAATGAGCTCATACAGCAAGATGGAAAGCTATTTTGAAATTAGACTTTCCAAAGGTATTTTTTTAGAAAATTTTATAAATCGTCTGAGAATTAATAAATTGTAGAAGATCATCTCAAGTGGGTCCGTTTCTTAGTAATCACAATATTCCAAAACAAGTATTACCGATGGGCAAGAAAAGTGGTTCTCGTAACTGGTCTAAGTTTAACAGTTGTCTATATTTATTTCCTTCTAAACATTTTTGAGGCAGCTTTTTTGTATAAATTTCT